TTTAGAATAACAAAAGCAAACTACTTAAGAGGCAATTAACAAAAGTATTAGAAATGCTGTAAAACAGAGAGCATTGTACACATTTCTTGAGAATGTCCATGAGCCCAGCCATCATGGAATAATTTATGAATGTTGTTCAGAAAAATAGAAACAAAATTACCACAGATATCAGTATGTCCAAGGAGAAATCTACATACTCGTGTTCATAGCAGAACTGCACATAATATCTATGATATGAAATCAAGCAAGATGTTTCCATCAAATAAACATAATGTGTATGAAAATGCAGTGTGACACATCTCATTCTTTAAAAAAAAGAAACCTTATCATTTGTAACAGTGTCTAAATGAAAGACACATAGAAGAAGATCTCATTTATATATGGAAAGTGAAATTGGTGAACTCATAGGCATGGTGGTTATTAGGGATTAGAGGGGATGTCGGAAATGTTAGATATACAAAATATCAGTCACATAAGAGGAATAAATTCAAGAGATCTATTATACCACATGGTGACTCTAGGTAAAAATAATCTATTTTATCCTTCAAAATTACTAAAACAAGTTGCTTTAAGTGTTCTCAGTACAAAAACATGATAACTATGGGAAATCACTTTTACTAATTAGCTTTATCTATTCAATGTATACATATTTCAAAATATCATATTTACATGACAAATATCTATGTTTACCTGGCATTGAAAAACATAAATCAATTTTAAAAATCAATTCCATAGAACACTGATATTCAACAAAAATCTAAGCTTAGCTTTCAGCTACTTTAAAGTTATCTTCTAAGTACATTAATATTTAATGTGGATAAGTTAATTTTAGTAACATATGAACTTACTCCATACTAGTTTAGAGAGAAAAAACATAACATATGCACCACTTCAGCTTCAGCAAAATACATATTTTTTTCTTTTCTTTTGGTACCCGGGATAGAACTCAGGACCTTGCAGGACCAAGGCAGGCGGCAGCACTGAGCTAAATCCCCGGCCCCTCAGCAATATTTTTCTAAGGAATGAGGAAATAAAACACTGACTTTTAGCCTTACTGTTTCAAGTGATGTTATGCATTTCATGTCAGTGAACATAATTATGTTAAGAAAAGCAGCTAAAGAACCAATGAAAGTCATTCCTTGTAGTCATTGCTGCACCCAGTGAGAGACAACCAACCAGAGACCGATATTAAATCCACACAGGAGTTTATTACCGGCCGGGACCCGAGCCGAGCATCGGACTCGAGCCTCGACTGGGGGTTGACAAACATGTTTTATACACCTTTGAGGCCAACAGTTCCTAGCCCCCCCATGGGATAGAACTAGTAAAGCAAGCGAAAGGTACAGAAGCAGAAAGCCCTGTAGTTAGAACATTTGTAAAACAATAGTTGATTGTTACTTCTAAGAGAGTCTCTAAGCGGAGGAGGTTTCTAAGCTTCCTGCTTCTGAGTTCATCTAAAGGGCAGGCAGGTGGGTCAAGCAGCAATATGGAGCCTGTCTTGCTAACTAGGGTCCTTCAGTCATTAGACCCTTCAGCATCATTAACTTTCTCTTTCTTAAAAAATGTTAAAACAAAAAAATTATTCTTTGCTATTCTAAAATTGTTATTTAAAGCAAACTAGAAAACAACAAATAGTATGTGCAAATAAGACATCCAATGAAAAGACATACTACTTAAACCCTAAAAAATTCATAAAATGCAATCAGAAATTCTAAAAGTTAAAAAAACAAAGTTAATGCAAACTCAAATTAGTAATAATCTTTTGTATTTAATCCCCTGGAAAGTTTTGCATATGCTAAGAAGTCACACTCACAGATTTAATTTTTGAAAGTTCACCAGCAGTCTTTGCAATACCAAGACATAAAGGACTTTGTACAAATACTACTGCAGAGATCAGTGAAAGAGATGGACTTTTGCTCCATTCAATGGGTCTTCACCAAGGTATCTGAAAGGCTGAACAAAAGCCATAAGTAGAAGAATGTTATTTTTCTCTTTATATACATTATAAATAGATGAATGCATTATACTGTAATACACACACACATATAAAATGTGTACTACCCATTGTGAGCAGAAAACCAGAAATGCAATATTTTTTATAGTTTAGTGTACACAAGAATCACTTTTATACTGTGGAACCACACTGGAATTAATAAAGGCCATTTTTATATGATTCTGAAGTAGTTATGAAGTAGTGATTTTTTTAAAGAAAAAAGTAGCTTAGTCTTTGTCATATCAGAAAGTATTAAAATGTTTGTATTGTAAAACAAAAGTTATTCATAGTACTCATTTCACAATGCTGTTAGAATTATATATGCATACATATACATATATATAGTGTCTAGTATAATTTGTAGACATAAACAGTTTTGTTTATTAAGTGTAGTCAATAACAATCATATAAGTGGAATCACATTACATGTTTATGGCAAACATTTCCTTTTTTAGTTGGCTAAATCATAATTTTTCAGACACTATTCCATTAACTGACATTCACTTTGTTTCCAGTATTTTTGTCATTACTAACTGCATTGCAAAAATAAAGCCTTAAATGCATGTTTCTACAATTAGCACACTTACTGGTTGCTTTGCTTTTGTGCTTTATAAGCATGCTGGGAATATTAAAGAAGCTGCAAGGTGGATGGATGAAGCCCAGGCCATGGACACAGCAGATAGATTTATCAACTCCAAGTGTGCAGAATACATGCTAAAAGCCAGTCTGATTAAAGAGGCTGAAGAATGTGCTAAAAGTTCACAAGGGTTTGTACAGCTAATGTTCTTACTTATGAATAAACAGGACATAGCCATACTTGTACCTTGGTCCTGGTTCTTTTTCTTTTTCTTTTCCTTTTTTTTTGAAACAGAGCCCACTATGTGGTTCAGGCTGGCCTTGAATTCATTACGTAGCCCAGGCTGGCCTCAAACTCCAGGCAGTCCCCCTGCCTCAGATTTCCAAGTGATAGGATTATAGGTGTGTGCCACCATATCCACCACACCTTGATCTTTTTTTTTTTTGGTACCGGGGGGATCGAACTCTGGATGTAGAGTATGTGAGGCAGGTGCCAGAACCACTGAGCTAAATCCCCAGCCGAACACCTTGATCTTTGTCAAAATTTCTTTTTAAATATTTTTAGTATTAGAATAACTCAGATTTTTAAAAATTATTTATTTTGATTTTTTGAGACAGGTTCTCACCCTGTAGTTCAGGCTGGCCTTGAACTTGTAGCAATCCTCCTCTCCTACCTCAGCTTGCTGAGCGCTGCCATTACAGGTTTGTGGCACCATGTCCAGCCAGCCCAGAATTTAATTAAATCACTGTATTGGCAAAACTACAGTCAACATTAGTATAAATCATTTTCTGCACAGTTATTATGATAGATTTATAAATTCTGGTTTAATTTGATGTCTGTTTGGGGCAAGTTTTTAGAGGTTAAGAGAATTGATACTTATTGAATATCTGCTAGGTGCTAATGTTCTTTCTCTTTGTCTTTTTTGAGACAGTCTCACTATGTAGTCCAGGCTCACCTTGAACTCAGTATATATTCCAGGCTGGCCTCAAATTCATGGCAATCTTCCTGCCTCCGCCTCCCTAGTGCTGGGATTACAGCCATGCACCAACACTCCTGGCCACTAGTGTTCTTTTTCTTATGTTAATTCCTACCACCCAATTAATGTACACCTTTTGTATAATCATTTGGAAAAATCCTTAGTATTTTTAGTGTTTTGAAAGAGAATTTCAATTTATTTCACTTATTAACTATTTCCTTTTACTATAAAAATGATTTAAACACCAAAATAATATTTCAGAAGGATTTGTATCAGTTGACTGTCTCCTTCTTAAATTCGTGGTGGAATGGTGTATTTGTTAAGAAGTGGACTTGAATGTTTGTGATGTTTGTGTAGGAAGGAACATCAGTGGTAGAGAATTTGAATGAAATGCAGTGCATGTGGTTACAGACAGAATGTGCCCAGGCATATAAAGTAATGAATAAATTTGGTGAAGCACTTAAGAAATGTCATGAAATTGAGAGAGTAAGTACCTTATACATACGAATTTCTCATATTTTATTAGACATTGAGAGTTTTGGGCAAATCCTATACTTTTTTCCTCCATCTTCATAAATCACATTTTTAAAATCAGTGTTTACTTTTTTCAGTTTTAAATGGAAATATATACTATATTTTCAGCAAGGAGAATAAGTAAGAATACTTACTTATTCTTGTAACAACTTTTTTCAAAAATTTTATGGAAATTTTGTTTCCTATGTTTTTAGTGACTTTGGAAACTTTTGGGCATTGCTACTGCCTCTACAGTAGTACCTAAATGCCTGTTAATGCTACAGTCTTGTCTGTCTGAGGCTGAGCGGTGATGCCATATACTCTTATAACATCCAAGCCTTGAAGCTTCTCACATTTTTTTTTTTTTTTTTTGGCAGTACTGAGTATAGAACTCAGGCCCTTGGGCTTGTGGGGCAGGTGCAATGATACTGAGCTGAATGCTGGGCCCTCACATTGTTTTCAGAGATGGCAGTTCTTCACTTTCTGATAAAATCATTGTTTTCTTATTTCTCCTTAAGATTCATTTTTATCACTTGTGATGGACTTTCCTTTTTTGTGTGTTTTTCACAAATAAACATAGTTTATATAATTCAGTTTACATTTGCAATATTGTCAAGTATAGAACACCAATGTTTGGTTGAAATGTGGAAGATCCTGATTTCTCTCCCACACACCAGCCTGATACTGTACATGGTTCTGATGTGTAGCCAAAACCAAAAAAAAGAAACCAAATACTGTATATCATAATCACCTGCAAATTGCTGTGAATAAAAAACTCAGTGTGTAATGTAAATCAGGTGTATTTCACCAGTTTGTATACTAATCACTTACAGTTGATTTGTCAGAAGGGCCTAACTTAAATATGATTAAGGATGGAGTGTGTGTGTGGCATTTGTTCTTCCCTTTTATTCAGTGAGGTTTTTTTTTTTGTGGTACCAGGGATCGAACTCAGGACCTTGAGCTTGTGAGGCAGGCGCGATGCCACTGAACTAAATCTCCAGCCCGACATTCAGTGAGTTTTGATACCTACTGTGTCATATCCTTTGGGTGGTGGCCAGTTGTATTAGACATGCAAAGTGTTTATGCTGAATGACTATAATATTTTTTGTTTTACCAATTTTTTGCACCAAAGAAGCAAGTAATTCCAAGGATTTGTTTTTTAGTTTTCTTAGACATTGCTATACTTCAATATGATAATAAAGATAGTTTTGTTAGCATTTTATAGAAATCATCAATGACCAGTTTGCCCTTCATACATAATGTATGAGGAAGATTACCCTTAGATCATGAGTGGACTTATTAAAACTAGAAGATGTACTTCAACAGCATCCATTTTACTTCAATGCAGCAAAAATTGCTCTCGAGGTGTGTTTGAAGCTTTGTGACAACCCCGTTACTGATGAGAAGAAAGAACATGAAGCTGACACAGGTATAATATTCAACAATTTCTTAGTATTTTTTGCTGTGATATTTTTATATGCTTATGGTATTTAGTAATGCAATTCTTTCTGAGCTTTTTAATTGAGCTTCTTGTGGGAAGATGTTATACAAAATCAGTAGATAATGGATGTTTGTGAATTTCTCTAAGCAACAGAAGAAAAATATTGTTTACTTTTATATTTTTTAAAACAAGTTAAAGGTTTAGCAAAGATTTAGATCCTTAGCATTTAAGAAGTTTGAATTTGTAAGTTTCACATTACTCTCTGATTTACTCACCTGACTTCAGTACTGTACATCTGTAACTATATAATTAGCGTGGGAATACATTAGTGTTGGCTGCTAGTGTAACTGGTCGTTCCTCTTTTGAAGAGGTGTTTAGTTTAATTTTGTTCTGTAGTATCTGGAATTGAACCTGCACTTTCATGTTGACCTGCATCCCCAGCCCTTTTCATCATTTTTATTTTTATCTTGAGACAGAGTCTAGGTCACTAAGTTGCCTAGACTGGGGTGAAATTTTTGCTTCAGCCTTCCCAAGTGCTGCGGTTACAGGGGTGCATCACCATGCCCAGCCCCTCTTTTTAATAGTAGTTTGTAATTATCCTACTAAAAGGTGAATATTGCTTGAGCATTAAATGCCACCTTGGAATTAAGCTAGGAAAATTGCCCAGTGATTTCTTATTTGATCCTTTCTTTCTTTCTTTCTTTCTTTCTTTCTTTCTTTCTTTCTTTCTTTCTTTCTTTCTTTCTTTCTTTCTTTCTTTCTTTCTTTCTTTCTTTCTTT